GACCATAATGGCACAGCTAAATAATCTTATAGTACAGCAGTGATTTTTCCCATCCTTTTGCCCAGTGTTTGCTTTGCACGTGTGTATCACTGTAGGAGTCACTTCCTGATCCTCGTCTCGGTCCAAGAAGCCAATATTTGTAATCCCAAAGTTACGTTACGGGAATCCCATCAAGTTGATTCCAATCTACCACTTTCAATGCAACCCATGGTGAAAATAAAGACACTAAATTATATTTTCAATCATCAGGGAGTCAAGGGACTCTAAGTCCAGCCATGGAGTTGCTTTGCAGAACCAAGAGTGTGACCCAGGGCCTCATCTGGTTTTATTCAGTGGAGGAGTGGCTTGAGGAGGATTGATTGAGAATTGTGGGAAGTAGGTGACTGCTGTGAGCTGAGCTAAGTGGGTGGCCTGCATTTACCTCTGCCATATGTGAGAGGATATGCAGAGAGTAATCTGCATTATACTATTTGCCATAGAGATAGTACCTACTGTTTTGGGAAGTCTGGTGCTTCAGCTTGGATGTAGTCTTTCAAGCCCCAGGAAGTCATAGCCTCTATTTTGAGGCTCAATCCCAGCTGGCAGTGCGGAGCATTAGCTCTACCATCCTGCATTAGCTCTTCCGTCCTGTCTCCACCTGGCTCACATTAAAGAGCAGCAGGTATAGGTCACCAGGGAAACATGCACTCCACCTTCAAAGCCCATCACCAACACCTCAGCTAGATCAATATACATTGCTTAAGGCCAATTGAAGGATAAACAGAAGTCTTGGCCAGCTCTGTACATAACAATATGAGGAAATAGGGTCAGGCTCAGTCAAAATGGAAACAGTTGCTCTTCTTTCAAGGAGAGCTGCTCAGGTGGTCCTCCACATATCACCACTGGGTTTTATTACACTGACCAGGGGAGAAGATAGGAGCTAGGACAGAGGCCATTCTTGTGAGATTATTGCTTTCATAGGGTGCTGCCTCTGACCTCTCAAAAGTGGGGCCTACTTTTGAGCTGTAGTGCCTGCCTTTAGTTGGCTGGCCAAAAAATGTGTTCTATACAGGGATGGAGATGTTAAGAGGAAGGAAAAATAGAGTGATTTGTCCTTTCGCTCATGGATATAGAATGAACAGATATTCTTGGAAGTGTTGCTTTTAATCACCATTAGATAACAGAACAATAGACTTTCGTACAATCTGGCTGCTGTGGTCAGCAAAAGCTGTTACTGCTTGAATGAAGGCAAAATGTTTTAGCAGGTGTTTAAGGTGTCAATCAGCAAAGGCTTTGCTAGTCTTCTAGAGGTATTCATGCCTGAATGAAACACATTTTTGACAAGATAGACCCAAGGATGCTTGTGCATTCAAGTAAAGTCTAACTTTATTTGTTGGCACTAGGGGTGAATCTAGGGTGTTGAAGATGCTAAACAAGTTTTCTACTTCTGGGCTACACTCTGACGAAGTTAACCTTTAAACAGTATTACCACCTTCATGGGTCATGGATTCTATTATAGGTTTTGTATTGGTTTTATGAATAGGTTGAGCATGAAAATATCTGCTCAACATTTTTATGTCTCTACTCATGTGACTTCATTAGAAATACCGCTTTTGTTCAATGTTAAGCTTTCTGCTAAAAAGAGCCCCTACCAGTCTCCAGAGGGTGCAAGATGGGCCAAAATACATACGACACACAGCAGCCATCATGAGAGGCCCAGGCCAGAGGTGAAGCACATCACACGTCTCAAGGACTGGTCTTTCAGTGAGAACAAATCTGAAGGACGCAGATCCAGAGCCTGCAGAATCTGCTCTTCCCCAGATTCCTTCATTTCCTGAGCCAAGAAACTTTCAGTTTTTAGTGAGGCAGTAGAAGAGGGAGTATTTGAAGTTTGCTTTATTTAAATGATCATGACAATAATGACAATCTGCTGAAATAATGGCTTCTATACTTGAGAACTCACACTTCCACTTAGGCCTAATTTGAATTTACCCTCTTTCAAAAGTTCCCAAATAGTTCACTCTATTATTTCTTATAAAAATTACGAAGTAGAGGAGGATCCGGGGGGGGTGGTCACAAATAAACCACTTACAGAGAATAATAGCAATTGGCAGACAGGTGTTCACAGTGTCATTGAAAAAATGACTAATAAATTTAGTCTTCTATAGATATTTAAAGAATATTTCTTTCTGAGTCATAGGGCTGGACATGTAGCTCTGTGGTAGAGTACTGACCTTGCATGCCTAAGGCCCAGGATTAGATGCCCAGCAGCACCATAGAAAGAGAAAAAGAGAAAGTTGTAATGCTGTAGGTCCTTTTGGTGCTCCTAAAGTGGACTGATGCATTACACTCTCCAAATTCCAAGTTAAGTCCGGGAATATGCTTTGTATCATGCCAATCTTAGATCAGGTCATTACTATAATCTCTTTTAACTCTTCCTAGAACCTAAACTCACTTTCAGTAGCATCACTCTTCTCTTTGCAGCCAAAAATGAATTTCCTTAAGGTGAATCACATTTTACTTTTTTTTTTTTTTTCCAGTAGTGGGAGATCAAACTTGGGGCTCTTTACCACAGAACTATATTTTAGTCTTTTTTATTTTTAAGACAGGACTCAAACTTTTGATCCTCCTGCCTCAGCCTTCCTTCACACTAAGATATATCCCTCATCCTTTAAAATATTTTTTTTTTCTTTTTTGAGATGAAATCTTGCTAAATGCCCGGCCAGGCTAGGCTCAAGCTTGTGATCCTCCTGATTCATCACCTCTAGTAATGGGGTTATAGGAATGTGCCACCGTTCCCAGTTTTCATTGTACTTTGAAATTAAATTGTAACCACGTTTAACAAAAAAAGTTAAATGAAGCAAATTATTTTTTTTTGTTTGACTTTTTGGGTTTGTTTCATGATTTTGAAATGGTCTGACTCCATAACCCAGGCTTGTGTTAGACTCATGACCATCCTGCCTTAGTCTTCCCTTGCTTCAGCTTCATGAAGGCTGCCAGTAGTTGTGTTGACTAAAAAGAGGGGAGGACAAAGAGAGGAGGACATCTTCTTGTGAAGAAGATGTGAGCTTGACACAGGGCATGTTGACTTTGATGTGCCTTTAAAACAGACGGGTGGACAAATGTCTAATTCGACTTGGAAGAATTTATGCAAAAGAATGGATAGAGTGAGACGTGAGTGAGGCTGGGAAGAAACATACAGTTCCTAAGGTTCTGAACAGCAGCTTTAGGCAATAGCAAGAAGTGAGGAAGGCTGAAGGGTAGACGAGACCACTGAACATTAGTGTGCTTAAGGGACATTGAATAAACCTGTCCTGCTGAGCCAGATGGGATTACAGCGAAGATCAAAGCTGGCTTAATGCAGCTTGCACACATGTTTTGTTTGGCTTTTGTAGGACAGGATCACAGAGTGTTCCCAATTTCAGTTAGGTGTCAACATTTCCACACAGAATCCAGAATTCTGTTTTTTTTTTTTTTTTCCTACTAAAGAGGCTGAGAAGTAGAATTGACAACATTGGTGATAATAACTCAAGTGTGTCTGTTTTGTGTCTTCACATACTTTTATATTATTTTCATAGGTCATGTAGACATTTGAATTTTCTTCCTCTGAGCTAGGGATCAGTAGGTAATAAATATACAAAGATATATTAACAACAGATTAAAGAGGGCTTTGAATACCAAACTAAGGAGTATAAGTAGTAACTGGGCAGCCTTTGAATAAGGGATTGATGAGATTAAAGCCATACTTAAGAGGATTATCCTGTACCAATCGGAAAACAGAAGTTAGACAGAACTGTTACCAATTTTGAAAGGGAAGATAAAAAAAGATGGTTTGGGATTTACAAACGGGTTTAAAGGATACGTGGAGGTGAACCTAACCAAAATCTCCTTTGAAAAGTGTGAAATGGAAACAAAACCCCATAAAATGGGAGTATTGTAGAGAGGGAGATGACATATAGAAAGCCCAGCACTGCCACATTGGGTCTGAGTTTGAAGGGCAATTTAGACTTCTGTGACTCAAGCCAGGGTTTGTTGTAAGGGACAGTGATATGCTAGGGGGGTGTTAGGAAAAGTCAAGCAAAATATGCTTCTCCACTGTCTGTAGCCTAGAATGTTCTCAGTAAATGGAGGGAAAGGGGCCCTTTGATCTCTCACCTCCACCTTCCATATCCAGAGCAACTGCTCCCTGAAAGGTCCTTTTAAAAAGGGGGGAGGGACTAAAATGAGTGATCATTAAGTGCATACCAGGCATTCTTCCCCACCCCCCTTTTGCAGCACTGAGGATCTACCTAAGGACTCATATCTACTAGGCAAATGCTCTACCACTGAGCTACAGCCCCAGCTCCTAAGTTCTTTACCAAGATAGTTTACTTAATCCTCACAATCATCCTTGGTAGGTACTATTACTATTTTCATTTTAGAGACAAGGAAACCAAGATTTCAAACTTACTCAAAGTTATAGGGCTTAAGACCTTTAGCCAATATGTGAAACTTTTCCTGTATCTTTAGCTCTTCTAGTGGTACACAGATGAGTAACTAGGGAACTTAGTTACTCTCTTCTTGGAAGCTATGCTATAATTTATTTCAGGGGTATCAGTTTGGCTACGTTCCCTCTAGCAGAAATAAAACTCCAGAAATGATGTGTTAACTGTCCTTCAGTTAAATATGCTTTGCAGATGATATGCTTGGTCACTGGGTAACCTTGAGCAAACTGTATGAAGATATGTGGGACATTCAAAGATCTCTTCTTTTGGCAAATGAATGGTTTAGTGTTATAAGATGTGTGCTGGTAACACTTTACTGAAAAACAATCCTCACAGAAATTCATTTCTTATTATGTAAGCCGTGTCCTGTTAGATATTATTTATATGTTCTCATGAAAAAGTATACAAGAAACATTTTAATTTGGGAAGGGGTGACAGCCCCTAACATTTGTAGAGAGACAAACATTTAATACAAAACCTCAAAACTTCTCAAAGCTTTCCTATCACAATTAAGATTGCATTTTCTTTGGTCTACAGATGAAACATGTGAATGAAACATTTCAAGAAGAAAAAAATAAAGAAGTGGTTCTCATGAGCATTGGTATCACTTCAGGAGTTGGACGGCTTCTCTTTGGCAGGATTGCAGATTATGTGCCTGGTGTGAAGAAGGTTTATCTACAGGTACCTTCTTATACCTTCCTTCCCCTATAAATTTATTATTCCATCATTGCTCAAGTATACACTAATGTTTAAATTTTATAAAAGTGAAAAATGCTTTCTATAGCATAATTTTTGCAAGCAGTTTCTCAAAGAGAAAATCAGTTATGAGTTTGAGTTATGAATATGCGAAATTGGCAAACAACAGGCATCTTTGTTTTATGAAGAACTCCACCAAACCAAAATTTCTTTCCCCCATTGCTTTTTTCCACAAAGGATTCTTTATTTTTGGCATTGCTCTTATAGTAACATGCAGACCTAATGCCCATTGCTGTATCTGGGGACATTTGAATTTGTGTGTGTGACTTTTGAGCTTATTAAAAATTGCCTGCTGGGTGTTAGGAAGTATGCATAAGCAAACTGCTAATTCCAAGATCATTACTGACAGTCAGCAGGTATTTAAGAGTCTACTTCATGTCAGATGCTGCTAAGTGCTACAGTTATGTGAAAGGTAGTGCTTTGATCTTCAACTAATAAGTAGTAAAGGTCTCCATGGGGGACAGATAAAACTGTTGCAGCGTGGTGAAATAATGAGTGTGCTAGATGGGTGCTCTGGGGAAGTCTGAGTCGCTAGTAGGGAGTGAGCAGTGTTAAAAGGTTGAGTAGTTAAAAAGCTGGGAGTATAGCTCAATGGTAGAGCATTTGCTTGACATGCCCAGGGTCCCAAGTTCAGTCCCCAGCACTGCACATTAAAAAATTCTTAAAAAATTAAAAGGATGAGCAGTAGTTACATAGAAAGGTGTTTGAAGCAGTGTAAACCACATGGGCAAGGAATTGGAGGTGTAGATAGTGTACGTGTCTGGGAAACAAAATGTTGGGTTGGACTAAAGAAGAAATAGTAAGTAGATGGATTGACCAGGTAAATAACCAGGTGGAAATTGCCTGTATGTGCATAAAAAAGGATTAAATTTATTCTGCAGTCTAGTAGAAACATTCAAGGATTTTAAGCAAGGGAGTGATGTAAGTTGTGTGTTTCATAGAAATCAACATGGTAGTTGTGAAAGGGTAGACTGGAATGGGGGGGCAAAAGTTGAAGAAGTCACAAAATGTCACATAGTGAATTAATTTCAGTGGCCACAAGTAGAAGATCTGTAGAGATAGAAGGTGGGGCGGTGGTTGTCAGGGCTGGAGGAAATAGTAACTGCTACTATCTATGGAGTTTTATTTTGGGGCAATGAAAATTTTGGTGACAGTAGTTGTACAACATTGGAGTACAATTTTAAAAAACATGGAATGGTACAATTAAAATGGGTGAATCTTATAGCATGGGAATTAAATTCCAAAGCTATTATTTAGAAAGTGCAGGCACAGAGAATAGCTGGCAATTGCTGAAGTACTCTATGAAGGAAAAACCAGGGCAGAGACTGGGATCAAATAGCAAACTAGGGCTACGGAAAACAAGTGGTTGACAGAGCCACTTAAACTGGGCCTGAGCTTTGTGGTGTGGCTAACAAAGTAGATGGTTTCCCTATTTTTAAAGGATCAGTAATTCAGTAAATCTCCAAAGGATGATCTCTTTTTTCCCATGTGAAATGTGTGGTGCTTGTAAGACAGTCAGGTTGAGGCTGTCTTCCCAGGGGTCCGCCAGTCTTATGATTGGGTGGAGCTTCCCCAGGAGGGCGGGTGCCAGGTATGGGGATCAGGGCAGGTGTGGGGACAGGGCATGGGGCTGGGGATCGGTGGTACCCTCCCCAGGCACATTGGGGCTAAGCCCAGCTGGCGTGGGGACGCGCAGGGACCATGCCTGGAGGCCCAACCACAGCACGGCTCATGGCCCGGCACACTGTTGCTCAAGTGCATGGTGGTGGGCAAGACATGTCTGCTGATGAGCTACGCCAACAGTGCTTTCCTCCAGGAGTAGGTGCCCACCATCTTCGACCACTACTCAGTCTGCATCACTGTGGGGGTCAAGCAGTACCTCCTGGGACTCTATAACACGGCGGGATAGGAAGACTATGATCGTCTGAGGTCTTTATTCTACCCTGTGACTGACATCTTCCTTATATGCTTCTCAGTGCTCAATCCAGCCTCATTCCAAAATGTGAGAGGAGTAGGTACCAGGACTTAAGGAGTGTGCACCAGACGTCCCCTTTTTATTAATAGGAACTCAGATCCATCTCCGAGATGACCCCAAAACTTTAGCAAGACTGAATGATATGAAAGAAAAATCGATATGTGTGGAACAATGACAGAAACTAGCAAAAGAGACAGGAGCGTGCTGCTTGGGGGATGATCAGCTTTAACCCAGATGGGGTTGCAGATGGTTTTTGATGAATCTATCATAGCCATTTGAACTCCAAAGAAACTTATAGTTAAAAAAAGAATGGGATCAAGACTGTTGCTTGATTACATGAAAAACATCTTTAGTAGCCAAGGAAACTGTCAGCTTCTTTCGGAAAGCATAGGAAATGCTACGGCATGGCAATACCCAGACCTCTTGCAATGAAGCAGTTTAAAACTTGAAAGAAAACAAAAATCCTGCCCTCAGCATTCTGTAAAGTTCTTTAAGAATGTCCTTTAAAGGTCTAATAAGCAGCAAACAGAATCTGAAGCCACAATCTATTATAAATACTTTATTTCAACTAGAAGGTACAATCTCAGGGTTTTCATATTTTAAAAATCTACAATCGTATGTTGAAACTACATGAGAAAAAAACAAAACAGTGCTGTGAATGGAACTGCTTGGCTTTGACCATATACATTTGTGCACAGTCCTTATGGAATCTCTTCTCCCTTTGCTCCGGTTAATTGCTCTTGTATGTAAGTGGCTTTCTATTCCAGTATATCCAGAGTGGTGAAATAACAAGGCTGGCCACGTAGCCAAAAGTTGCTCCAAGAATGCTAGAGATGGGCCATACCTGAGGAGAGGATGTGTGAGATCAAAAGTGAGCCACGCTGATTATTACCTGAGCACACATTAAACGTAACCTAGATATTTCTATATTGAAGCTTAATGTGCTTTTTTAAGGAATGCTAAAAGTGTAATCAGGTCATTATTGCATTTATCATCAACACTAAAAATGTATACATTTTAGTTAATGTGCATTAAACTATAACAAGGCTTCTGAAAAAAAAAAAAAGTCAGGTTGAGTTTGGAGTTTAGTGGGGAGTCTGGAGAAGAGACCTGTCAGACTTTGGCATTTATGGTCTATATCAGCAGAACTGAGGACCAGGGACCTGCTTGGAATGAAAAACTGGGGAATAGACTGTAGGGACGGGAGTGTCCAGCAGTATCTGTAGCGAGTTAGGGAGACTCTAAAAGCTTTTCACTGGATTTAGCAGTCAGGAAGCATTAGTGGCCCTCCAGAGAGGGGCTTCAGTGAAGTGGTGGGAACAGAAGATTGATGACAGTCACGTGAGTAACTGCAAAGATAGACGCCCATATCCAACGCTGGAGGGAAGGTAAGAAGAGCCGAAAGGACTTGGGATTCAGGGCTTAAGCATGTCCATGTAATGTTCTAGATGATAGGCAGGATTTCAACAGTGCCTTGAAAAAGAGGAAAAACTTGAGAACAGGAAAATGATTGCAAGAGGCATTTATTATATATAAGTGAATTCTGCAAACTGACTACACTAACAGCTACTGTTTGTTGAGCACTTCACGTGCCAGATCATAAACTAAGTGTTCTACATGAGTTTTCTCATTAATCTTTGTCCCAGTCCTTTAAGGGAGTGATTGTCCTTATTTCCACTTACACATATGAACACTGAACAACAGAGAAGCTACCTTATGGGGTGTCTGTGTTTATGTAGGCCCAGGCAGATAATGAGAGGAAAGAGCCTGGTCACACAGTACAAGGAAGGTAGGCTGTTACTATTTTATGGTCATTATTCCCCCCTTTATCAATGCCTGCTTGTGGGCATCCTTGTTTGTTGTAGTCATTTAGCTGTCTTCAGTGTCAAGAGAGCCCTCTAGAGAATATTTGTTGTACTACAGACTTTTAGTTTTAATTGTTCAAAAGGCCTCTTGTGCCTGGAGAGTTTAGACACCCAGGACAGACACAGTCCCTGTGCTCCTGGACGAAGAAAGGAGAACGCTGGGTGTCTTTGGGACAGGACAAGGAGACTGGCATCGAGAGGGTGTAAAGCTAGGGGGACCAGCTATCCAGGCCCTAAAGTCAAGAGGGGGAGATTGTACTTTAAGTACGGGGGCCATTATTGGAGAATGTTGGTCAGGTTTTACATTTTGCTCTGTGTTATGGGGAGGCAAGAATGCGGAATAGGAAGGACAGTTAGATGATAAGTGGCCCAGGTGAGGGATCACGGGGCCCTGCTGCAGTGAATGAAGTTGTGGTAGTTTTTGTAGTGCTAGCAATCCAACCCAGGGCTTTGCACATACTTGGCAGGTACTCTAGCACTGAGTTACATCTTTTCTTCTTCCCTCTCCCTCTTTTTTCCCTCTCTCTCTCCCTCCCTGGTACAAGAGGTAAACCCAGACCCTTTGCACTAAGTTGTATCCAAAGCCTTTTATCTTTCTTTTAAAAAAATTTTTATTTTAAGACAATGTCTCAAGGGCCGGCCAAATAGCTCAGCGGACTGAAGTGTCTTCAAGCAGGTGCAGGGGCTTGGGGGTTCAATTCCTGGGCCTGCCATGCTGGCTGCACCCCCGGGGTATACTGAGATGGCAATTGAGACTGGGTGTGATGGTGTGTGCCTGTAATCTCAGCTCTTGGGATGCTGTAATCAGGCAGATCACTACAAGTCCGATCTAGTAGTGAGACCCTGAACACCCTGTAGATCCTTCTGTAAAATACAAAAATAAATAAATAAATAAAGACAGGGTCTCTCTAAGTCATTAAATTGCCCAGGCTCAGCTCAAACTTAAAATCCTGTTGCTTCAGCTTTCCAGAGAGCTGGAGTTATAAGCATGTACCACCATACTCTGCACATTTTATTTAATTTTATTTTGAGCCAAGGTTTTGCTCTGTTGCTCAGATTCACTTCAAACTTGGAATCTTCCTGTC